TCGGTCTAGGAGATCAGGATTATTATTCCTCTATTTATATCTCGAACACTGATTTAGACGCCACAATATGGAAGAGCAATTATTCGGCTTGGATGAGAGAGCCGCTTTGGCCCTAGATCTGAGTAGATATATGACATTTTGGAATTGATGATTATTATTGGGGATTGCCGAATCCGGAGGAACTTGTCGCAGGCAGATCGCGGTCTGCTCCCGATGAATCCCCCCGTGTCATTTAGAAGACACGAACGAGATGGCGGCGGGAAAAAATCGATTCTTTGATCTCCTCGAGTGTTTTCGAAAGACGATTCGCCGCCTGGATGGAATTACAAAGCAACCTAGAATCGGAATAACGTTCTTGTCACTCGTTATTGTGGATTCCCTTTCGGCTGTGTCTCGGAACATCGGAGCGTTTCGTCTATTCTGAGGCATTATACACATCTATGATCTCAATTTGCTGTCTGCGATAACTTGGAAGGAGGTCGATAATTAATTCTGATGCCGAGCTGTTGCGAGGGACTTCTGGCCGAGTTCTCTGCGTGAAAGTTCTACCGTGGGGCTCGTAATTGACCGAGCGTAGCTCGGAATCGGTCGAGGGAGATAATGGAGAGAGTCGAAATGATGAACATCCGATTAATCGAGAAAATGCGTCCCCGCCTATCTCTGTTCACGGTCTTCGACGTCTTTTCGCCCGAGAGCGGGAAGGGTGACCACTCTGGGTATAAGGCGGACTCTGTGAATTCGATGACAGGTAGCTCAGAGAAGCTCGACGTGACATCCGCGCTGCTAGGGATATTGATCACGACGAAGAAAGTTTTGCCACTCTAGGCATGAAGTCCAGTCTTCGAGAGATGATTCAAACGGCGAAAGTGTTCTTAATCAGCCATTCGAGGGCGATTTCCGGGCGATGTTGACGGCCAGAACGGCTTGAGACTCGAGAGAGCGACGTTTCTCATTGCCTAACCCATGGAGTCAATCGACTCGGAACGTCGATTCGAGTATTTGAGTGATATTGTATCAGGCACCCAGCGCGAAGAGCTTAAAATTCTTCGTCGCCCCTCGCTCCTCTTCAGAACAAATACCTTGTGGGGGCCATTTTGCTTTCGGAGAAAGAAGCGCAATTTTCAATTGTCGAGCGAGTGTGAGAATTTCCTCGAGATACTCGGGGCTATGCTCTTTGCTGAATCATATTAATATGGTTTGAGCCTGCAAAAGGAATGGCTCGCCGAGCTGCATCTTCCCAGACTCGCCGGCATGCCCCACGATTCGCAAGGCAAGTCGGTCTCTCTCGAGCTCCAGCGACTCTCTCGCTGCAGCCTCTTCATTTCTGTCTTTCATGGATTTTTCGCTCCGGCTCGATTCAGATAGAGACTGTTTGGTGGACGGGAATTCCGAGCCAGAATCCCAAGTGAGATGAGACCTGGCTCTCGCTTAGTCCGCGCAGCACTCACCCGCTGAATGAGATCTCGATTCGCTCTACAAACCCATTTCGAGCTGCGAATTCAATCAGAGCGCTGTATCAGTGAGTGATACGATCTCATTTCCAGGGTCACTATGCGAAGCAAAGTCCGGGTCCCTGACTCGAATTTCCTCTCGGTCCCCATCTTCCGACGATCCACGGCGGAACCCAAGCCGCGCACTTACAAGATCTGAGGGGAGAGACCAGCGTTCCTTAGAAGGAGCATCGTAACTGTTGGGACGAGACTTTACTCATTAAGGGTCCATGATATTATTCATCAAACAGTCTGGCTCATTCACAAACCTTTCATGTCTCCTCGAGAGAGAGGATTCTAGAAAAAATACCTGAATGACTGATTGACTGACTGAGACTTCGACCCCTCGCCAAAGCAAGCAAGAGCGTGACAGAGTATGTTTTCGTCGTATGCTGAATATCTGAGTCCGAAGAGTTCGGACTTGTGAAGAGGAGTGTTCTGTCGGTCGGTCAGTCAGTCAGTCAGTCGGTCGGGCGCTGTGGACATTCCTTGGGTTCAGAAACAGTCGGTCGCCACTGTGTCGCTGACGTGGAGACCGAGACCACTATTTCGAGCTCTCTGTCTATTTATCTCGGCAACTGCCATCTTCCTCATCTCGAGTTTCTCCCGTATGCCCAGTTCATTCGCTTTCATAGCCGCTACCGTGATGCCCGTGGACAGAGTTGATGTTGTCCTGCGATGCCACTACATGTAGCCTCTCAGCTGGTTAGTCATAAAGTTGCCAAGGTTGACTACGCGATGCGTGGAAAAAATTCAACACAAGAGCCTCATGAACTCTAGCCATGGTTCAGGGTCGACTCGTATTCGCCATCAACTCGAATCACTTTGTGATATTCTGGCTCGACAAAGCGAGAACGATGAAGTTCCCGAATGGAAAAACAGATCTCTACCTGCTCGAACGGCGACGAGAGCTCCTATAAATAGAAGATCGCTCTTGAATTCCGACAGGATCGACGAATGTCCCGAGCTGGTGATGGGAGTGTGGAGGTCTAATTCCGAGTCGACTTCTTGTAGCGCGAAGCGTCATCTCTGCTCCTGCTCTGCTCAGAATCGGTGAAGACACTGATAGTTTTCCTGATTTTTTCGCTGGTTCCCAATTAAGTTTTCTTCCTGTAGCCCTCTGATGGACGAAGTGATTTTTCCGTCGAACTTCTCAAATCACTGGCATTATCGAACCGATCTCAATCGAGGAACGAAATATCGCAGTACGACGTAATCGCACATGGAGTTCGAGAGACTTCTCGCGATTTCTCTCTTTGCCTCCCCGAGGAAGAAACTATTATAATGGAGCCATGATTGAACGGAAAGCTAGACGAGAATAATGTTCTGATTTCGTGATATGCCTCGACGATCATCATCGCAGACGAGGGATACGAAAGTATAGAATTTTCTTCGTCACGCAAAAACTCGGTATGGCTGTTCAATTGGATTCAAAGCCCTCCCCCCCTCTTTCCAAGTAGCTTCCATCACCGCAGAACGGACTGACCCTTAATCATTCACGAGCGACACGCCCCCTCTTTGACTCTGCATTACACCACGAGCTGCATGAATAGCGTGCACCAGGTACACGCATGCACGCGATTTGCAAAATCTCCTCACTGCCCCTCTTGTTTGCCATTGTATTATATGTATGTACGTGCTTGCCGGGACTGAGAATCCTCCTTTCACGCAAATGGGAACACATCGACAGTCGGCGTCCTCGCGTATGTCGGTACGTGCAGAGAGCCTACGGCACAGAATACGTTGGCCTCAATTGCTCCATCAGTCGATGCCAGAACTACGGGGATGCGACCTAGAGACTCGACCATGTTTCGCGCTCGAGAAACCCTTAAATGTCGAAACAGACAGTGAGAGGGCTCATGAGTGCAATTTCCCGGAAAATGACCGTCGACCCATCGCGGCTCGCATATGGATGAGTTACGTTCGAACGGGGCAACCTTTTCGGACCTCTCGAAGGAATGAACTCGACATTTTCTCAGAAACGCCCTCGCTGCGCTTCTACCCAGTTGCTCGGGACAAGTTGTTAATGGTTTCTCCGGAGACGGAAGCTCCAGCTCCCGAACGATGAACTCGCTATAGCGACCGCATTCGCTCAGCGGAACACCAAACTGGTCGTCGCGTCTGATTTGAGTCTCTGCGAGTGGACCGAGAGACATTCAAAAATAGTATCCGTCAATCGATAGCGGCCGCTTGAGTGCGACGCCAGTCTCTCGAAAATTCTAGAAATAGCTTGGCTCTGCTCTTAGCACCTTCAGTTTTGGGCTGACTGAGTGAGAGTGCAACCAATCGAACTATGACACATTCATCTCGAGCGTACATAAACACACTGAGCGTTGCGTCATGCGTCTTTCTTCTTCTTGCGGTAACGTCATTCCGGTCACGGGGATTGTCCGCGTCTTAGCGTAAGCTAAACTACCGCTGATTGAGAGGCTTCGATCCAATGCTCGTTCCGTACTTCCTTCCTCTCGTAGAGATCGCAATGCGTGGAGCATTGCGCGCACGTCGCGACGAGACCGACGGAGGAAGATCGTTGTTGGAAAAAAACCGTCACGATTCGGAGCGACTCCCGTGACATGTGCCGGCTGTAATGCTTCGTCACGAATCGTCGATATGGATCGCCTCTCTTGAACATGCGGCGCAACACGGCATCCTCGCCCTTATTTCATGGCTATATAATGCCTGTTTCGAAGATGCCATCGAATAATATTGTCTTATCAATCGAAGGCGATGGCAATACAGGAGCTTGTGAAGCAGCTTCTAAAGGTTGGTTTTTATGTCGCCCGGAAGTTTTCGATGGTGGACCGGATCTGGGAAATGTGTCCATACTTCCGAGTTCCCCGCGGAGATACAGTACAGGACTCCCGCTGGTGCATTGTACCACCGCCGACCGAGTTCATGCCTTCCGAACTTTCCTCGGTCACCTCTCGACAACGACCAGGTGTTCTACCCCGCGGGATGACTCCTCGAAAATCACTTCCCGGCGCAATGCTGGAAATCGGGTGTTGGACTACGTCTTCAATACGTACCTTGTAGGAATGCCGGATCTGTGAATTGTACAACGGCGGCCTTTCATGGTGTTTCACTAATCGCTCTGATTCTATGTACATATTTCGTGGTCGCCGACCTGCGGTATGCTTCTCGTTTACGACGGGTCAGCTGGTGTGCTCACCGTAAACGAGTCGAACAAGTTCGTAACATCATTCATCGGAGTATGTTATGGCTATGATCAGGACCGGCATGAGAGTGACGTGATGAGCGGATTTTAGGTGAAGAAGCTAGACGCTTCAATATGGACCCGCTGGTTTAATGGGAATCGATTCGACCGAATTCCGGGCACTTTCTCTGGAATTTCTATCAATCAGTGCTGCAGGAGCTCCCTGGTCGGGGATGCGATTGTTGCTCGGATAGGACAAACGCTCTCTGCTATGCAGACAGATACGAGCCCCGTGAATTGCCGCTAGAACGATCGATCAGCTCGAAACTAATGGCCTCCTCTTGTCTTTCCAGCAAACAAATAATGCCAGTAGCGCGGCATTGATGTCCCAGGACATCCCTCAGGTTGTCGTCACACCATCGAAAGAGATCGACGAGAATAAAGAACGAGGTAACTGGTCGTCACAGTTTGAGTTTTTGTTGTCATGTCTCAGTTACGCCGTCGGTCTCGGCAACATATGGCGATTTCCCTATCTCTGCTACCGGAATGGAGGAGGTGAGTTCCCAGTCTCCATTTCGCTGTGCCTTAGGATTCAGACTCTGTCTTATCCAATGCCGGAAGACCCATGGGGGGATCACGGTCTCGGAAGCGTTTTCCGACAACACCGACTAATTTTTTTCCCGTCACGAACCTCTCGTGTCGCAGGTGCGTTCCTGATACCCTACTTTCTGATGCTCTTCTTCGTGGGTATTCCTCTCTTCTTCCTCGAGCTATCCTTCGGCCAGTATTCCAGCGAAGGACCTATCACGATATGGAAAATCTCACCGCTTTTCCAAGGTTTGTGCACAGATCGGCGCTGACGGCTTACAATGAGATTCTCGCACGGCTCGCCTTCGGAGACGCGGGGCTCATTGTTCTCGATTCTCTCCGATGTGCGAAATATCGATCCTCATCTCCGTATGAACTCCACAGGAATCGGGTACGCGATGTTTCTGATGTCAGCGCTCGTGGGCGTCTACTACAACATGATTCTTGCGTGGGCCATGTATTATCTATTGAGCTCAGTGAAGGCAATCTTCAGCGATCTCCCATGGAAAAGCTGCGATAACCCTTGGAACACCGAGATGTGCAAAAAGTGAGTACGGGTACGAAGCTCGCACCTGCCTCAAGTCATTCCATCACACCGGCGATTGTTTCCAACTGCCTAGGCATGGGTTTTCCTAGTCCTCTCAAGGTTGAGCTTTCACGAATAGTAAATGATTCTGGCCCGAGGCCATCAACGCAGAGGGGAAAATGCCGATTTTGCGTTTCTCGTAGTGTTGAAGCTTGTTGATCAGACGAGCCTAGATGGTCGAAAGAGATCTCTGTTGCTTCACAAACACGCATACTTAGGTGATGTCTTCACGACGACTATTCTCGGCGCGAGAGAAACTCTCAGCTCGGGCTCTGGAAATTGACAGCCACGATGAGCCCTCGTTTTTCCATCTTCAGGTTCGACATGACAAACTGCACGGCTCATAAGGGCGTGATGGACTCGAACTACACTTGTCATTACGAGAACAGCACCGAGGAATCGGAGTTCCTCCGAATCAAGGCTCTACGAATCGGATCCAAGTCGGCTAGTGACGAATATTTCCAGTAAGTCGTCGTAAGATACAGAATCGTGGAAGCCCGAAAGCGGATTACTGGTGCCTCTCCTCGATTAAGCGAGACATAACCGGATTTCTCCTCGGTCATTCCAGTAATTTCGTGTTGGAAATCACCGAGGGTCTCCACGACCTGGGGAACTACCGATGGGAACTTGTGATTTGTCTACTGCTATGTTGGATCATCGTTTTCTTCTGTCTCTCGCGAGGAGTGAAGACGATGGGGAAAGTCGTCTACTTCACCGCGATTTTCCCGTACTTCGTGCTGGTCATCCTGTTGATCCGAGGTCTCACTCTCCCCGGTGCCATGGATGGCATTATGTTCTATCTCACACCGCAATGGCACCGTTTGGCCGAAGTGCGAGTGTGGGCCGACGCTGCGATGCAGATATTCTTCAGTCTTTCCCCGTGCTGGGGAGGGCTGATCACTCTGGCCAGTTACAACAAGTTCCACAACAACTGTCTTAAGTGAGTTTGAGGAGTCACAACTTCTTTGAAAATTTCCTAGCGGACAACATTCCGTCGGTGTCGACTCGCGTGTAACGGGGAAATTGAAATCTCCAGGAGCCTTAATGTCCATCTCATTTCCAGGGATACCTTCTTCATTTGTTTCGGGAACTGCGGAACTTCATTTTTCGCCGGATTCGTCATTTTTTCGATCGTCGGATTCATGGCAAATAGTCTGAACGTCAAGGTCGCCGAGGTTGCCACCGAGGGAGCGGGACTCGCCTTCGTGGTGTATCCCGAAGCCGTTGCGAAGCTTCCCCTGGCACCGTTCTGGTCAATCCTCTTCTTCGTGATGCTGATGACCCTCGGCATGGGAACACAGTTCACCATTGTGGAGACGGTGTGCACCACCATAATCGACACCTGGCCCGAGAAATTACGTCACCGTAAAGCCCTTGTGCTCCTGTGCATCTGCGCCACGATGTGCTGTTTGGGCAGCATCATATGCATGGACGGTGGTATGTACGTACTTCAGCTCATGGACAACTACGTGGCCAGCTACTCCGCGTTGACCATCGGTCTCTCCGAAGTCATCGTTATCGGATGGGTGTACGGAGCCGACCGTTTCCTGGACGACATTAAGGTCATGCTGAAAGAATATCCCTACCCGAAGACCTACTGGAAGATCCTGTGGAAGTTCGTGGTTCCGACCTTGATTTTGGTGAGTAAAGACACGACCAGACACGAATCATATACACCCGCAATCGCAGTGGATTCGGAATGGGATTTCCCTCTCCACGGATGGATCTTGACGGGAGAAGGGCGGAGATTCCTCGGCAATTCTGCACAGGGAAAATGACTGAAATATGATTCTTGCAGCTCATCCTTGGCTTCTCGTTGGTCAAGTTGGAACCGACCAAATACGGTGATTATGTTTATCCAGCCTGGGCAACGGCACTGGGCTGGTCCATGTCCTTGTTCTCGATATCGGCGATTCCGGCTGTCATGATCTACAAACTGAGCGAAGCTCGCGGAGATTTCTGGACGGTGAGTACCCCCTCAGCGATTCCGCCCACGATTTCCCCTACGCGTCCCCCCGATAACTCGTCTGCTAGACTACAATCCCACTTCCATTCCTTCATTGCCCCCCGCCCTCTCTATGGTCTACCCCGTTCAGTACCATATACATATATTGTATGAGTTCTCGAAGTCGTCCGAGGCCGAATACGTCGAGCAAGATGATGTATTTGCGGTTTTGCGAACTCATTCGTGAATTTTCCGCAGAGGGTGAGCACATTGACTCAGCCGACAGCAGATTGGGGACCTAAACTCCAAATTCACCGAATCGAGGCTCACAGCCCCAAGCATACTGACTCTCAGGTATGGCGAATCGACGGCGTCCCAACGAATCCCAGAATTGACGATACTCCCTTTGTTTTATGACGTCTTCAGGTGCTCGGTCCTCTCGGCCAGACGTTCAATTCCGTATTTCACCCCCAGGTTCCACTTGCTCTTCCCAACTACAACCCTGACGGCGATCTTGATCTCGAACCAGACTTCCCAGTGTATTACAACAGCGCAAAGGCGAACGGGCAGAGTAACGTTTCCGACGATAACGGAGACAACGACAGCGGCAGCGAACACGGCATCTCATTGAATATCCCGCGCAGTCGCCAGACAGGGCTCTAAGAGATACCGCTGCCCTGGCTCGCAGTATCGGGATATCCCCATAGGATGTCGTCTGCGGGATAAGAAACATCGTCATTCGGCGGAACAAAGCCGCGACAAAGAATTCATGCTCCCCATGTGCCTGTTCCGCTTCCATTTCCTGCAAATGAGAAGCGAAGCAGCCGCAGCAGAAACAGCAAAAAAAAGATCAGCAGCAGCTTACGCATCTGGCAAGAGCTAGTGAGCGACATTGATAAGCTTTGGCAGAAAATTCGTCGAGTTCGCAGATGTTCGCTCAGTCGCGTCGGAGAAAAACACAATCCCGAAGTCCTCTAACATTGAGGCGCCATAAGGTTGCAATACACTTTCCCTCCGAGTCTGCGGGGGATCAGGAGTCTCAACGAGTAGAAGCATTCACGCCGTGACGCAGGAAGACACGACGAAGACGGAAGAATTGTGGTTCAGGGGTCTTGGATGTCTGGGATTATGAGACCGCTTCTTCCCTCCCGGATCCGCATCGGAGAGAGACGAAAAGATCCTGTTCGTCCTCGTAAGCGCAGAAAACGAATCGCCGCGGAAGACCAATCTACCGGGACAAGAACAACAATAAACACGGTTTCTCTACCGCAACATAACATCAGTGCCAACAACATTCGATCAACCGCTGCTCACTTTAGATAGACGATGGAACGCACGGATACACAGGCGAGCGGAGATTCGACTCAGGACTCCCGCAAATCGGGTGAACTCCCGAAACGGAAGGAAGCCTCGGCTCGGGCCGACCGGAGCACGGCTCAAGCGAAAATCCTGAAGGCAGCGTAATTGACACAGTGCCGTCGGCTGGCCTGAGCTGGATACTGTTTTCCTACGTCGATGCCGTCAGTGCAAAGAAATATATATGTAAGAGCTTCTGTTCAGCTCCCGACAGGGCCAAATTCGCCAACAAGTGCAACTCTAGACTTCAACTCCTCGCCACCGAAGAAGGAAAAGCGGGACGCTTCATCGAGCTGCGCATCCCGAATCAGCGCGCCGAGTCCCTCGTGGAATGACTCGCAGGATCGAAGAAAAGTCGAGCTCCTCGAGTCGTCATCAAACAGTCTTCTACGCGAGGTGGCGTCCGCCCACGCAACGTGGGCCGAAGCCTAGTTTTTGACGGCGCCGGTAGTGATCAAACGGGAAAGAGCTTTAAAGCACACGACGTTCACAGCAGCCTACCGCTGATTCGATTGTATTCAATGAACAGGCGAGGGCGAGTGCCTGTCCGATTGAGAGACCATTCTACTTGATTTCCCTAGAGAAGCAAACTGGGACTCCTTGGAACAAAACCGATTATTAGAAATATGTGTCTTGAGTCCACACAGTCTCATCCTTATCTCATGTTTCTCATCTAGCGACGGTCAACCGGCTTTCAAAGTCCTGATTCTCTCCGCTCAGCGAAGAAGAAGCGAAATTTCTGCAATTTGCCATTGCGCGAAAATCCGGAAACCGTCATATCGGAGGCCAAGTGCTTTGAGAGTTTGTCAGGCTGGAGCTATATCGCGTACCTTCGGAAAGGAAACTCACGTTATGTAGAATAGGCGAACCGGAATGAAGGAATTTCGTTTGTTTCTCAAGATTGAGAGTGTACAAAAAGACGTGTACATAAAGACAGTAATCAGGACCCCGAAAACTCGCTGATTTTCCCGGGCAGAGAGAGAGAAACCATGTTTAGGAGGAGCAAATTATTTTGTGATTGTTCGGCCAACGTATGAACGTGCATTCCACGTTTCGCAGGCTCCTCGTGGTGCTGGGCGAGGTCGGTTTCGGTTTAGAATCCTCCTCCCGTTCCTGGATGGATGACTTGGCCTCAAATGGGGGCTGCGTCACCCGGGAACAGCATTCGGGTCGGAGGCTCGTAGGGCCTTATCACAGAGAGGGAGCCTGCGCGTTGTTGAGCAATTTGAACTTGTTACGGCTACATTAGCCTCTGAGTGATACACGTTCTGAAGTGATTCTTGAGTCATTCTGGAAAAATTGAACTTCAATTATGCGTTTCAGTCAGCGGACGCGACCTTGCGTGTCAATGTCGGCTCGGAAACCTCCTCCTGCCGTTATCGGCTCATCGGAAATGAATCTTACTGGACGCTGGTTTTTAAACTCTGTTTTATACAATTCAGAATCGAACATATAGTGATATATTCGAGACTATAATTTAGAGACTATATATCGCGATCGTTGATTGAAACTAGCGACCTTGATGCGCGGACTAGACGAGTCTGAGGCATTTGTCAGTTCCACGATGAAAAAGCTCAAAGCCATCTCGCTTCGGACCATCGACGACGAGTCGACGTTACGAATCGTGTGGTTGCTTCCCAGGAAAACATGTAGTTCTCACAGATCATTGTAGTATTCAGTTTACCCTGTGATAGCTCTCATAATCTTCACATACATCAGAGAGTAATCTCCGGAGAGCGCGAGCGACGACGCAGGGAGGACCCGTTGATATTTGATATTAGATGTCGCAAAATTATTCACTGATTCACCTATCGAGCGTCTCCCGGTCCACTGACTCGCGTTCTTCGCGCTCCAAGCCTGATCATTGCACAGCTAAAATTGAATTCGATCCCGGTCCAGGGAGACCGAGCAAACTCCTGAACATCTGCGAATCAGACCGTGTATATAGTTATGTACGTTGTATCGAAATCAATATTGCGACGAGAGTCTATTGAAACAAACCAATGAAGAGAGATATAGAGAGTTTTTAGTTCATACGAATCGATTTACCGATTGAGTGAGTCGTACAAACCCTTAGCTAATTGATCGAAGCAAGTGAAGACCTTCTCCGAGATGAAGTTTCTTCCCAGCTCTCCCTCACGAGGAATTTCGGGAGCCCACCAGGGCACCAAAATATGTCTATCTGATCATGAGTTCTCTACACTACTGTCGCGAGTTAGAAATTCAGATGAATTCGAGAAAGTCTAGAACGCTAAGCACGCCACTCAAAATTTATCTCCGAGAGAAATCAACATCAAGAGAGATCTTTAGTGGAGGAGACGTGACCGAAGAAGAACAAATAAATGGAAATTCAAAATGTCGATGTCCCGTGTGACAGCAAACTTTGCTTGGTCTTTCTTGGTGTTTCGATCATCCGGGAGCTATGCGTCGCTTGTCGACGCAATTAGCAGCTCCAAGCTCCAGCCTCCCTCCTCGATTAGCGGTGAGGCTGCTTATTCTATGTGGCAGAGAAGAGCCGCGCGGTCCTGGTAAAGAGGAATCATCCCGATGTGCCGATGGGATGGATCGGCCTCTTCTTCGGTTACATCCGTAAAGGTGAGCGAAGCGTTTTCTACCTCGAAGACCTAGATGGGGCCCCGTCGGAAACTCTGCATCAAGGTCGTCGTCGGTGCGGCGCGCCAAGAATCGGCACACGAGTAGGTAGTCCCTTTCGAATGAATTCACCCATGGAGTTCATCGAACGAAAACTCTTCGCGATCATTTCCCGCAGAAAACAACGAATTTCTGTTGAGCCTGTGTGTAGCTACCTTCATGATATAATTCCATCTCGGCAAGTCTTCCCAATCGTCAAGCCGAGGCAATGAAGAACGTAAAATCCGCCTCCTCGCCGATGTCTGAGGTGTTCCGACATGAGAACCCCTTCTCATTTTCATCGGTCGCGAGGTCCATATCCTTAGCGCGACCGAAGTGGGCAAGTAAATTGGAATTCCTCCTGTCCGGGCTCAGCTACGCCGTAGGTCTTGGCAACATATGGAGGTAAAACCCGAAGTGGGGCGATCCCAAATGAACTCCTTCATCCCGAGATCAATATATGCCCGACAGTAGATTTCCGGGAAAGCTCCCGACTCGGATGTTCACGATCTGCGAAATTTCTCAGGTTCCCATACTTGTGCTACAACAATGGCGGCGGAGCATTCTTGATTCCTTACTTCACGATGCTCGTCTTGATCGGGATTCCGCTATATTTGTTCGAAACCGCGTTGGGCCAATTCGCTCAAGAGGGTCCCACATCTGTTTGGAGGATCTGTCCGCTGTTCAGAGGTAAATTGCTACATAATTGGATTGTGAATAGTCTTACGTGAAGGATGGCAAGCCTTTGGCTCTGTGACGTCCTCCGACATGTATCCTTGGAAAGCTCGCCCATACCGCACCTGAATTGGGAACGGCGTTCTAGACTAGCTTCGGAGCATTCGATCTCTCCTGCGGAAGATTCGGTGGATGATCGGAAATGAACGGAATCGATCATTGAGAGTTGAAGTTTGAATTCTCTCCATCAGGCATCGGCTGGGCCATGTTTTCGGTCTCGTTTCTGGTCGCGACGTACTATAACATCCTGATGGCGTACTCACTGAACTTTCTCATCTATTCGTTCCAGGGGCCACTCCCGTGGTCGCACTGCAACAATTCATGGAACTCGCCTAACTGCATGTAAGTGAATTCCAAAGACCGGCAGATTCGTCAAAGGATTACATACGAATCCATATCATTATTTGCTCTATAATGATCGGGAGATGTGAGATGTTCGACTGCAGCTCTCGATATTTCCTCCAGAACAATCCAATCGCAAAACTTGACCTCGAACGCGACGGACGCCCTCGCTCTCAAGTCCCCCCCTGAAGAGTTCTTCACGTGAGCTGCGATAGCCAACAAAGGAACTGATCTCGAAATAGAGCTCCGTGGTGTTGACTCATTCGTACAAGCTTCCGGCCCTCTTTCAGGAGATATATTCTAAACCAGAGCGATTCTATCGAAAATGTCGGTCCCGTCCGCGTGGAGACCGCGCTGTGCCTTCTGGTTTGTTGGGCGATGATCTACATGTGTCTTCTCAACGGAATTCAATCCTTGGGTGCGTCTGGAAGTTTCTGATTCTCCTCTCTCATTCTGGAAAAGGCTTCTCGTCGGACGTCAAACACGCGAACAATACTCCCGTTAAGAACGAACGGAGTGGTGACCATGGAATTTCTGCAGGCAAGGTCTCATACTTCACCGCTCTGTTCCCATACATCGTTCTAACAGTGTTCCTCGTGGAAGGGCTCAGCCTCCCTGGAGCGGCAGCCGGCATAGATTTCTACCTAAAACCCGACTGGGACACTTTGCTCACATTCCAAGTGAGATTTCCCGGCGAATTCTCCGAGCCCTGGAGTCCTCGAAGGGCGATCCAATCATGAGTTATTATTGCTTGTAATTCTAATCAATATCTCTGCAAGGTTTGGCTGAAAGCGGCGCAGCAAATCTTCTTCAGCTTGTCGCCGTGTTGGGGAGGAGTCATCGCGTTGGCTAGCTACAGTGATTTCCACAACAACTGCGTCCGAGACACGATGGTGATTGGGATAGGAAATTGCATAACATCGTTCTACGGTGGTTTCGCCATATTCTCCATCATTGGCCACATGGCTTCAGTAAAAGGTTCAGGTGCTTTCCGAAGTCATGAAATTCCGGTGCCGGATAATCTCGATCGCACGGCGCATCATGGACAAGCCTGTTGAGGGGCTCACGGATTTTCGTTCCAATCCAGGTGTTCCGGTAGCAGACGTCATCGATACCGGGGCTGGACTCGCTTTCATAGCCTACCCGGAGGCCATAACGAAGCTTCCGTTTCCTCAGATGTGGAGTGTATTGTTCTTCGTAATGTTGCTCAGCCTCGGATTCGGGACAATGGTTGGTATTCCCGCGTCCCAGACGACCCTCGTACATCCTCCGAAATATCCTACGCATCCTTTCCCAGCCCACGTATAGGGCTGACAATCTCCTCGCGGTTGAGGATTCGAGATCTTCTCCAACACGTTCTTCCTTGTAACTCAAGTTCACCATCGTCGAGAGTGTCGTGACATCTATCGTGGACGTCAAACCTAAGGTTCTAGCGTCGAGGAAGAAAATCATCCTTCTCGCGGTTTGTCTGGGCTACTTCTTGATTGGCTTGGTAATGTGTACCCGAGCAGGAATGTACATCGTACAGCTCTTGGATAATTTCGTAGCCGTCCTGTCATCGCTCGTTATCGGCTTGACCGAAGTTCTGGTAGTTTCTTACGTGTACGGTGAGTACATCTCAATTCCGATCTGGAATGACGGCAAGACCTGCGATTACGAGGCGCGACACGCAAACGGAGATTTCAATTGAAGCCATTTAGACGGAAACCTGCACCACCCCGCAGGAGCTGACAGATTCATCGGGAACATGCGCCAGATGCTTTCCGCCTATAGAGTGGCCTATGCGTATTGGAAATACATGTTCAAGTTCGTTGTCCCCGGCACCATAGCTGTAAGCCTCCGCTTCAACGAGATTCTCCCTCTTAGAAGCACGAAACCCCGATAATGAGCACCGGATGGCATGATTTCCGCGAAATCTGAAGAGGAGAAATTGGCGACTCCATTATGAATGACCAATGACATCGACGACGCTTCTAGGTTGTCTTGTGTGTCACCCTTTCTGAAGATGAGCCCACCTCGTACGGATCCTACGTATTTCCGTCTTGGACATCGTCAGTCGGCTATGGATTGAACTTCATTTCCGTCTCCCTGATTGTCTTGGGAGCGATCCTTCAACTGAGTTCGGAGAATGGAACTTTCACGGAAGTGAGCAGTGACTACCCTATGGATAATCATCAGGCGAAGAAGAAATTGCTCTGGATTCCAGAAATCACTCGAAATTCAGGAATGAGAATACTACTCCTTCTTTTGAAGAGGTTCAGGTCTGCTATAAAGGCGCGGAAGCTGAGAAGGAGGAAAGTACCCATTCTGATGGATTTCCCTAATGGGACGATCCCACAACGGAAGAAGGACCCGAACCTCGCCAGTGGTCGAAGCTCCGCAGAACGAGCTGCCGCGTTCCAAGGCCCCACACGACCGAACGCCGAGTCGACAACGACGGCGGGTGCCATAGAAGCCGGGGCGAAGCTCGCGCGCAGTACAGTCACCACGGACGGTACGGAGACGACTGCGGGGAAGATTGCGGCAAAGGCGACGTAGAAAAGTGGAGCAAGGGAGGCGTTGCGACCCCGAAGAGGGATCTCCGGAAAGAGCCTCCTCAACCAGAGAAATATCTAAAAAGAAGGAACGTCGTTGCGTTGGACTTGATACGTGTCTCGCTTTAGCTTTTATTTGTCTTACTCTGTTTTCTTTTCACTTTGTTCACGACGTACACTCACACGTTAAGGTATTTGTTTACAGTATATGTTGATGTCTCCCTCCAGAAGTTGGTTATATAGACATATGAGGCTCACTAGCGAGTTCTCGGAGGGTTGAGGTGAGAAAACCGTCATCTTTCTCGACGCCAGACCCATAGAAGAGGCTCGAGCGTATCGAGCTACAAAGGATTGGGAGGCGGCTTTCTTTCTCGGAGAAAGATTTTTTTTCGTTCGATCTTCATATCTTATCAACAGCTGTTTTGAATCATGTGGGTTTATCGTACTTGAACACTTCGTCATAATAAAACGTGTGCATTCACTTCGCTTTGTATGCAAGAAACTCTAGGCCAGGCTCTGTATGAGGACAAACGAGACGTTCCCCTCATGCTCCTGTCTGCTCTCAAGCCGTTCTTTCCGAACTCTTTCTTGTAGGTACTTGTATTCTCGCACACGTATCATCAGATGAATGTGGGTCAGCGGGATATTGGTTCGCCTCAGGAAGTGAATCGTGTTTCGCGAATCACAACGGCCGAAAATTCCGGCAAGGAGGCAACCCCAGATTGGATATCCAGCGGCCTCATCAACCTTCGGCTCACTCCCAGTCGTCGGAACCTCTTTCCGAGCGACGCTTAGGAAAATACGGAAAACGCGGGAGTAGAGCATACGATTAGACACGATTTCACAAATACACAGAGATCGTGATCCGAATGATAGGCTTCAGATGATGATGATGGGATTTGTTTGGTGTACAGAGTGGACTTTACATTCGCGAACAGTCTTAGCGTTTCGATTTCCTTCTTCTATGACCTAGAGTGAACCCGCCCGTCACCGACTGTACTATCTACGGAATTTATGTAAAAAATTGGTTCTCGGGATCGATTCGGAAGCGAACCACGAGCTCCATCAGGGGAATTGTATTTCCAGAACTATTCCCGAAATGGGAGAACGGTTCCGAAAAGAAATTTAAAAAGCTCAAGAGAATGATCCCCGGCGGAGCTCGTGACGGAAATCAGATGTTCTAAGCGTGAGGGGAGGGAATATTCTATGATGAATCCCAACGATTAGCGTTCGTGGGGATTAGACAGGGGCATTGAGCTTGTTCCGAAGTCATAATTTAACAGGATTTGGATGAGGTCATATGAAGTATTCACAGGTCATGCTCTCTACAGGGGACTGGCAGGCAGAAAACATAAAACATCCAGAAAAGAGTGACAGAAAGTGAATCCTTCAAACGACAGCTATATACACAAGAACTCCATCCTGACACATCGACATCGGCGGCCTGTGATGTACAGCGTCCGTTGAGGTAATCAAGGATAGAATATTGGTCTCGTCCGGGAACGAGATATATCCATGCATGTTCACATCCTTACGGTTAATGGTTTCCGCTATGAAATGATCGTAACACAAATCGAAGGAACAGGCCTTTTCAGTGACTCAGCTCAGAAGCGAACCAGCGAGCAGATCCCCTCGATGGAGATGACTTAGCGATGAATACATCTCAACGGGGGCTTCGCGCGGATTCCGGGACGAGCTGCTCTCACCACACGGGGAAATCATGGAATTCTTTTGAGAGCAAGCAGAAAATGCTGTTGCTGCTCTCGAAATTTGAAAGCATGCATGCGCAATAGTACTCACTCAATAATCGACATGCGGGACACGAGTGTACAGAGGGAATGGCTCGATCGAACCCTGTTCTGGGGCTCAAACGGGAGGGAGCCGTACTCGAGATGTGCTTTCACAGATATAATTCATAATTTTGCGGAGGAGGGGTGCTCCGAAGAATCGGCGCGTGGGGAACTTGCGGGCTCAGGCGGGAAAAGACTCGCAAAACGCCTCGAGTAAAGAATAATACCGAGACGCCCAGAAGGTTTTCGACCAATGAGGGGGCGATGACGGGATAAATCCGGGGGAATTCGCGTGCTTGTCCGCCTCAACACGCGCTTCGTTCCACTCACTCGATGGGTTTCACCGCGACGTCGATTCTTCAATTCAAAGGTTTCGAACGCAGGCATGTAGGATAGAGGAACCGATTGTTTGATTGACAAATACCGATTTTGTTTGCAGTTTATATACACAGAAAACAAAGTCCTCCATTCCGGGAACCATCGAGCTCGATCTCTGAGAGTCGGTGTGGGATTTGTACAGTGATTTGATGAGTGTTGTCGGGAGAATCTGATTCGAGCTCATTCCCTTGTCCCGATTCCCGTTCAGAGGGAAAACGCTCTCCGCATCTAGAGTTTCGGCATTCGAGATTGAATAGGACACGATGCGAGAAGAAAACACAAAGTTGCATCCATACGTTGAAACGATTTCCATTTGCGACCCCAAAGCAATCACAGTCGTCTATCCAGAACTCCGGCATGGCGGTAGTCGAGAAGCGAAAACGAGGAGGGAAAAACATTCGATTGGAGAAATAGGAGATATGAGAATTCTTGTCCGCTCGCTAGTTGGACGGGAATTGTGTGAGAGACAATGACTCCGAACAAAAACGTTCAGTCGAGCCTTCGTCATCGTCGACTTCGCGGACGTAGTGGTATGCTATCGGATCGGGAGTAGGTATCGTAGGTTAAAATCGACACGGAAAGAGAGGATTTCTGCCGAAGTTCTGAAGAAACACAAACGTATCCGAACTGTTTTGCGTCTGCCCCAAGCGTTGCTCGCTTCCGCCTTCTCACGAAACACGCGCCATGTCAGTTATGTACAAGGAGTCATAGAAAGATGGAAAAACCGTCATTTCACAGCTCGGATTTCGGGGTACGCGGCAAGTCGGACCTCCGTCAGGGGGCGAGTGGTCGGACTTCTCGACAGTATAGGGCGACATAGAGAAGAGATCCTGACCGTCTGACACACTCCACACCGCCAGGCTTAGGTCCGTGTGCCCGCCATACGCGTCTTTGTCGTGTACTGAGCACATACGCACTCACTTTCGAATCGAAATGATCGTCATCATCGGAGCGAGTCCGAATAGTGTAAATCATCACCATCATGCATACATTTACACACACACAGACACACATACAGGGTTCGAGGGTCATTTGCGCGAATAATATATATCCAGAAGTGATTACGAAGTGAGAGCGGCGTCGGCGGTGGCATCAGCAGCAGCGGAGCAGTCACCACCCACTCTTCCGATGCGGAATATCATCAATCAGTAGGGGGTCGTTTATCGAATTTGTTGTTGGAATCTTAGTGTAGGTTAAAGTGCAGTGGAGAGGCCGCGGAATCGTTTTTTCGCTTGCTCGCTCGCTTGCTTGCTGATTGGCTGAGTCTGTTCGATCGGTCGTTCACTCAGTCAGTTTAAAATCGGTTTCGGGGTCGGTTTTCATTTGTTTGTTTCCTTGCTGCTGGATTGGTCGGTCGGTCGGTCGGTCATTTATTCGGGGTCGGTCGGTCGCTCGATCAGAGTCATTCGATGCTCGCACCACTGAGCGAATCGATTCTGAACGGCGTCTTCTGCGGTTCTCATTGATGGGAAATCTGCAACTGAGCCACAAGCGGAATGTGGTCTGAGGGCACGCATTGATGCGGGTAACCGATGACTTTATGCTCGGCCAGCCAATCGCTATCCACGGGACCCAAGATAGCACTGCAGGAGAGGTGCTTTTTCGTGAAGAATATGTAGTCGATCATGCCTTGGAAATCGAACGTGTAGTTGGTATAGGGCATGTCGGTATCGGCGTAGGCCTGCTCCAGCACGAACGGATGAGTGTAAGCGTTTCCGACGAGCGGGCTGTTCTCTACCATGAGTTTCTTGAGGCAGGACCTGTATGAATTCAGATCCTTGAAATCCGGATGATCGCAGGCGATTCGACCGTTCCGCAGGAACTCGATTACGCCGGAGTCCGGTAACGAATTCAAGTCGCCCGTGAGAATCAGCGGAATATCCTCGCACTTCGATAGAGTTTTGCTCTTTTCGTGGATCGTTTGGAGCTCACGCATGAGCATCATCGTCTGGATCAGTTTCACGTCGCAGTATTCTGGATCCCAGTGAATGTGGGCGGTGCAGACAAGCAGTGGCTGTTCAGGGAATTTCTTCATCTGGAGCAGAACTGCCAGGGAGATGTTGTCTTTCGTCATGACCCGATTCAGCATATCGTCAGAACCCTCAGCGTTCGCCATGGCGAGCTGGTTGAACTCGACGAGATGTTTGTCGAGGACAGAGAATTTTGAAGTCTTGTAGAAAATGGCGCAGCCATCAACCCGCTTCCTTTCGGCTTCTCTCATCGATTTAGCACGAGACTTGGGGGAAAAAATTCCTTCCCAATCATCCTTCTTCAGTTCGGGCTCGAAGTAGTTGTAGAATTGATCCGTTTCTACTTCCTGCGAGAGAATAGAACGTGGAAGTTATGCCTACGGGCTTATATATCGCTCTTCGCCGCGTCTTGATCGGGGCGAGAACGAGGGGTGAGGGTCGAACGGCTGAGGGCGGTGATCTCGGCGAGGGGCGCGATATAAGGTGCTGGGTGACCGATGCGGCTCGATCATTAGGGGCAAGGGCAATTCCGATTTTCAGAATGGGAGTTAATTCGCATGCTCTCAGACTCGAAGGACGGCACTCAAGAATTCGGACGAGGGGACGAGAAACTCGAAGATGAACGAACTAACCTGCAACGTGATTATGTCCGCATCGCAGTTCTTTATCTCCAGCATGATGCCTTTCCTGCGGTTTTCCCAGCTCAGGGCCCACGAGGGGCAGTAGCCATACATATTTCGCGTGGCATACTTATCGCAGAGCACGTTGTAACACATGACTGACACTTGTGCCAGCGGCTGTAATCAGGCAGAATCGATCGTTATGAATCTTTCTCGCAGAACTTCATCTCAGGAGCGAACCTCGTCGAAACAAGCAAGAATATTTCACGAAATATCGATGGTCGGGGACATGATCGGAATCGGGACACCAGTCATCGATCGACTGTGTCAGTCAAATCGTCGCGAGTACTCACAGATTTCGCCGGCGGGCATTCGGGACCCTTTTGAACCCACTCCCGAGCGGGCGTCCCGCTGGCGATAGGCGGCAAGTTGTCCAGCAGATAGGTGAGGAGTTTCTGAGTTCCATTCAACTCCGAGTAGATCGACAAGATATCAGGCGAAAGTGGGTTTCCTTTCAAGCCTAGGAATCGAGGGTTCAGGGTTACTCATCGCTTATTTTGGATTCAAATCGATCGCATCTCCCCAGCGGAGCGTCGTCGCAGTGACGCGGTCCCAAGGTCTGCGTATACGATACGTCAATCCATGATCTCCCGCTGTTTACAACAGGATTTCAGCAACTCACCCAGCGTTGTCAGTTGGAAAAGACGGCCCAGCTCGTAGGGCAAACTATGAAGTAGATTGTTGTTTAAAAGTAGGTCCCTCAACTGCACGAGATCACCAAGTTCGTTCGGCAGTGAACGGAGTTTATTCGATGAAACATCAAGATACACCAAATGCACAAGTCGGCAGATGTCCACCGGCAAACGTTGTAGTCCATTGTCGTTAAGGTAAAGCGCGGTCAAATGGGTGAACTGCCAGAGCGATGGGGAAATATTCCTCACAAATCCCTGGGGAAGAGGAAGATCGATCAGAAACTTGAAGGACGGCCTTCCCCTCGAGGGAGATGCGGGAGGGGCGGAAGATTCCCAAGAAAGATCGATGCGACAGGACCCTCCCGACTCTCCCGCAGGCCCTGATATCTTCGATGAATCGGATACCAGCACTTCGATTGGAGGTTTGATAACCGGTTGGAGATTGGTACTACCTTTATTTCCAGCTCGGTCCACTTGCTCTTCTTGCCGGATTGAATGTCTTCGGCGTGCATGAAAGTGTGGTTTCTCCGCGGGTTTGGCGACTCATACTTGTTGTTATCGAGCTTATTGTCCTTGTCGCGGCCACCCAAGCTTCGGCCACCGACCCCGTAAGGTCGAGACATGCTTCGGTCGTCATGCACCACCTTGAATCGAGAAGACTGTCTTTTAGCGGAAGTTCATCGAAGATTTTCACGTGAAACGACTTCATATCGACGATTCTTGATGGTCACACCGCGTACTTCACGTTTATTGATGCGAAAACTGCTATAGCAAGTCCCGTTAAAGTAAAGTGCGTTATACATGATGATGATTACCCACAACCGGTCTCTACCACGGACCAAACGAAATGCCTTGTTTACAAGATTCACCCGACGACGACCTTGTCGCAAGACGTAACGTCGTCACGCTCGTTCGGGAAACGTCAGGTTTGCACGTTGGCACGCGAACACTGCGATAAGAAGAGCGGCACCGACGAACGATACGATCCACCAGTGATGAGCTAGGCCGAATTCCGCCGACGGGCCATTCGTAAGCCGGGATGAAGAGTAGTGAAAGAAAAGAATGACTCCCGCTCCTAACTGATGGTGTCCGTTCGAGACTTCTACTCCGACTCGCACACCGCATAGATTCGAGCCAAGTCTTCCGAGAAACAGGAATCGGCATCAAGTCCCCCCTTTCTGGCACCGAGGCTCCGCGACCCGCGTTTTTAGTTTTTACGTACAACACCATCAATACGGAGCCCGCCTCCCGAAAGAGCCCGGACCTGGAGTCTGTTCGATTCCGTTTCTCTCTATGGATCGCGGTGTTGATATTCCACAGCTACCAGAAGCCGACAATCCAAACGGTCAATGATACGGAACGCTCTCGCGGTAAGCATTGTCGGCCGCAAACGGAGGAACGGATGAATAGAGGGATGGGTCGATGAGTCGACAAGTCGGCGTGAGGAATCCCTGTACGCGAAAACTGAGGCTTACTGGTCGAGCTCTTATCGTGGTCGGGCGAGTACCTAGCGATCGCGCGCGCGAGACGGCGACCGGGCATGCCACTTGATCGGCTCATTCATCCGTTTGCCCCGACTGTGGTTATATAACCGCAGCAGACACACGAACTATTCTATCGTTTCCGGAACGGGTTGCGATAATGGAACGGCAACCTTCAGACTGGAAACAGCGCAGCGGCGGCATCCGCTGTGTTTTCACTGCACGTGCCGCCACTCGGCTCTCTCTTGATTTTCAATCCGTCGAAGCTGGCCGCGTCAAGCAATTTTTGGAGCCAAGGACCCCATGCAGAGTTGATATTGTGATCGTCACCATCGCCGCGACCGGAATAGAAATCCAACGGCTGGAAACCTAATAATTAGCGCGGAATTCTCCGTTGTCCTGCGCTCACATCGAAAATCAGCGCACGGCGATCGATTGGGAAAACTTGCCGTACATTATTTCGACTTGCGACGGCAGCTGGGAGAATCTTCCGAATCTCACAAGTTGGGAGCCTTCGATGCTGGGTGATTTGATGTCTTTTCTTGATGTGGCTTACAATCGCACTGCGTGAAAGTCTTCTCCTCGAAGCCGATCGACCTTGCAGAAAATAGTTGATCATCACAGCCAAAGCGACTCAACTAGAATTGTTTCGATCCGTCAGACATATGGTTCAACAAAAAACCAGACAGGAACTTTGGATATCCAAAGAACTACATCCTATCCGATCGGTTGCTCTGAACGATAGTTTTCGAATAAATCGAACAGAATCAAATCTTCAAGGGACCGGCACTAGTTCGGAAAAATATAAGACTCAGAGCTTGAGTAACACACCACATTGGCCGACACCGCTGCTGCTGTGTTCTTCGTTATTTTTTTATTCAAGTTTTTTTTTTTCGATTCAGGCGAAGTTTCCAATTCATCGAAGGAACAGGGTGTGTGAGTGGGAACGAACGTGCACGGTTATTTCCCCTAACTTAGGCGAAGGCCAGTATATTCGGAGCCGTTGAAGTCCACCACGTGCAGATAATCAGGATGTCGTTCCGAAATTCCCACGGCTATTACATCAGAAATTCGACAGAAGGTCACCCCAAGGATCGCATCGGCACTGAATCGTGTCCATGAGGTTTACGCGCCAGATTTGTTCTGCGCTGCTCAGAGTCCTCGATCCGAATCGTCCCGCTCACTCCAGGTTTCCGATTCATCGAAAGGGATTCGGAAATGAAGGGATCGTCTACTACGCAGGGAATGTTTGAAAACACGGGTTTTGACTGGGATAAAGCCTTCCCTTTATTGATCCCCGTCGATGTCTGTGTCAAGGGAGCGAAGACAGCTCAACCCGTCGACATCGCGGAATCGAATTAATCGTTCCCAGATCCAACCTACAAGCCAGTAAGCCCAAGAATCACCATTCGGTTACCGTCGCACCCGAAAGCCTAATTGTGAGGACGGATCATTGGATGAAACAGCGGAGACAAATGGAGCGAGGGAACTTTGGCCGGAGCACCAAGCAAAACAAGCCGTCGTTCACTGGGGCGCGTAGGCGTAAAGCATTCGCGCTGTTGGTGGGTCGGTCAGTCGGCAGATCTTTCGTTGGTTCCTCCTGTTCCACTTCGTCATCTGAAGGAGGCATATAGCTAATGTCTCCCAAGTTGAGCTCCGACTAACGAATCTGTCCCGAGAAATATTTTAGAGTTCGCCAAACACACGAATGTCTGCCGACAGATCCACAAGACGATCACACCTCTTGTGGGGAGTGGAAGGAAAGGCAGGGGGACGGATCTATCCATGCCACATCGTACGGAGGGACCATAGCGTTCTCCAGAAAGTCTGGATCTGTCGCGAGTGAAGCAACTCAATCATGACAAGAAATGTTCAGGATGTAACGACAACCGCACTTGTAAGCAGCGGGTAGTGGCAACACGAAAGACAACAAGACAGTCGAATTAATTCCGGGTCGCACAACGACTCCGATACCGATTACAGACGGGAACAACAAGGATAGCCCCCGCCGACAGCTTTTCATCTTGAACAACAAGCGGAGCGAAAGCATCGGCATTCGCGCCCGCAGAGTTAGAAACAGTTCTTCATTCCCTGTTTTTTTGTTAGTTCTATGAAGGGGGCTCACACTTACGAAGTTTCGGTTCCTCGTAGTAATAGGGCTCCTGCCATAATACTGGCTATGATGATATCCTCCTGTCGAGGACATGCCTTCACATGCAATCCACACTCAAGATGAAAACTCTATGTATCGCTAAGAATCCACGGTGGATACACTCTCCACATAGACGCTGCTCGCAAGCGATCACAACAAGAAACCAGCACCGGCTTGGATCGATCCTCGAATCGATCCTGTTCCTGCAAATGTTCTCATGAGCTTTCGGTTCCTGGTTCTTTGTTTCTTCCCTGCAGAGCTAATCGTCCACGGTTCTCAACCACTTCGAATTCGAATACGGTTTCGGTTCACGCGCGACGGTTGAAATCTATCATTATCCGATCGGTTTTTGGTTCGCTCGAGATGATACGCCGCACGGCAGGGTCTTCCAACCGGAGATCCATCCTATCGCATTCTGAGAGCTCCTCGGCGAACATTCTCGCAAGGGACCTTCCCCTCGCGTAGCGTATGCCGCTGGAAGGTTCGTGAGGGAGGACAGTCAGAGGCTACACAGGACGTGAGTGATCTCCTACGTGAGGAACTCCTCAACCAAGCGATTCGAGGGAGGAGGTTTGCGACAAATGCACGAGACCGACGCGAAGGGAAACACCGCACTGTCGACGAACCACCGAAAGGATAACCGGTAGCGTGGACAGAAGCGCGGCGCGTCGCTCATACCGTTGGCGAACGAACGAGCGCTAAGGGTGGGAAAGAGTCTCTCTCCTTGCGGCAGCAGCGGTGGCGGCTGCAATGGCGCGCAGCGTTCGGTACGGGGAAGGAGACCATTTCGCAACAAACACCCCGAATCTCAGTTGAATCTCGAAACGACGGCTACGCAAAGGACAGGAAAACCTTCGCGGCGGGCGATGAAACGCGCTACGACATCTTCAACAACAATACGTCGTATTCAAGGGAGCGGAACGAACTCCTTTTGCGCATTAATAATCTCATATACAGCTTGCACACTGAGTGCGTCCGAGATGTTCTACTGAACTGAAATCAGATGCACCGTCGAGCTGATTGGAATCAAATCTCAGAAGAAAAAACAGCTCTGTTATTTTCTTCCGGAACCAGAAGACTTTGAACGGAAAGCAAATAAGACCTTACAGAAGCTCCTGAGGAGCTCCCGTAGCGCCCCATGCGTTTCTACAAGACTTTCTCCCCAGAATCCAAGATTTTCTTCTCCGACTCTCGCTGAATTTATATTCCGAGAAATATTCGGGATACCATGTATGTCCATGGCGGCTCCCGTGAGTGATTCCCAGTTTTTTCTACTCGGCGAGCTCCCATTGATATCAGGACTGCAGGAGTGCAGTCGGACACGAGCACAATACTGTTCCAGAAGGGGAATTTCCCACGATAGCCCGCGAATGACTCTCCGGACGGGATTCTCTAGTTTACAGCTTCCCTCTCGTTTCCCCGTCCCGACGCACACAATTAAACGCGACTTCGCTTAGAGACTATAATCTTATACCTCCTATCGAGATATATGATCGCGAGCAACCCCATGGTAACCAATCCGCCAATCCAGATAGGGGAGCCGCAGACCTTGTCTCGATTTCGGAGTCGATTAAAGGTCAGCGACCCGATCCCACGAAATATCTTGTTTACGTTTCTTGCTTCGAATCATCGAGAGGATTCGAAATCCCGAGCTTGACCTACGCCGCCGAGAGAGCCAACGCGCTCACGAATCCGTCGCTCCCACCCTCCTCGATTTCCGCCGTTTTCCACTATCATATACGATTTCCCATCCTATGAATCGAATCTCCGGAAGCTAGTTCTCGCCGATGATTATTATGACGGTCAAAGCGAAGAAGAGGGATTGAGAGGCATTGCCTGCGCTCCTTTCCAACCGAGTCAGCGACCATCATTTCCTCGCAATGCGAATACAGCGCATTAAGACCGGGAAAGCTCCTGCACTCTGCGGGCGACACAGATCCTTCGAGGACCTTCCTCCGAATGAGAATCGACCGCAACCTCGAAAGTTCCAGATATGCCAATTCACTACCCGCGGTGACTTTGGGAATTCCCTCGGTCTGGAATGAGCGAACTCAATATTCGAGGATTCAGCGTCACTTGCTCATCGGTATCAGAAAAATGATGCCGACGCGGCGCGTCTCCAGAAGCTCGGGTCGACGCCCGATCGCTTCGCACCTGCTCCAAGGATCAG